ATAAGTCATAGACAGAAAAGACTCTCTTATGAAGAAGAAACAAATGTAAGAGCACAAAACTTCCTCAAGACCTAATCAAGAAATGCGCAACCAAAATGTATATTTAAGTTTTGTTAATCTCAGCGTTTTGGCAATGTACAATCAGCACCAGAACTGTGTTTCTGAATAAGCATTGGCATCAAGCCTTTTTAAGTGGAGAAAGGAGCCTTTTAAAAGCATCTCCGTGAAATAATATGACAGATTTCACAATTAAGCGAGCAAATTTAAGAAGTCAGTATTTGTTAAAAGTTAGAGTTTTTTGCTTCATGGTGTATCTAGCCATTAATTTATTTTAATATTCTAGAATGACTGGACCAAAGGAGACAGAAGATGTTTTAATTTCAAAATTATGTATTTTAAAATAGGAATAAATAGCACATCAAGAGTTGTCAAACTCTAGTCTATTGATGGACTTTGATAGTTTCCATGAGAATTCCCTGCAAATAAGATGGGGGAAGTCTAATGCACATTTTCTCATTTCTCTGAAGTGTGATCCCATTTATTTCAACAAATTCTTGAAAAGATTAATGACCTTAAAAGTTTATAAACTACTAACTTGTTTAATATGTGATCAAATTTTAAAAAACTGCTCAGGACTTACCTAGTTCATCTCAGAGCCAGAGCTGACCACCTTGCCCAGCCTCTAGTCTCCAGGAGTTCCCAGCTTTGGGCAAATGCCTAGCCACGCATCTAAGGAAACCACCCTGCTTGTAAATCGTGTATGGGTACTTTCCAGAGGAGGTCCTACGATGAGGGGCTATGAGTAGCCCCAGCTTTCAAAAACTTAGGTTCCATGTCAGCATTTCTGTGTCCCCCATAACCACCTCTGCCTGGACGCCAGCAGACACCCTGCATGTGTTGCATGAAATGTAACGACATGAATTCACTTCTACTCCTTGTCAACTCACTTAAAAGCACTCTGTTCTCTCGGTTTCCCCATCTGTGAAGGGCAAAAATAAAACTTCCTGTGGGAACATTTCAAAGATTAAATGAATAGTGTATATAATCATGTTTTATAAGCTTTCCAACAACATGGAGAAAAGGGACGGTTGCTTTTGTGTGTCTACTTCTCAAATGTGCTGTTCTTATCAACATTTTAATGGCCAAAAGCCACAGTACCTTTCTCCTCATTAGTAAAGGGAACAATCCAAATTGCAAGCTGATTCCTAGATCTCGATAAA